TGCGGGCCACGCTCCAGCTCTGGACCCGTACCTGGAGCGCGTCCTGCACCTCCGTCCCAGCCCCGAGTTGGATCGCACACGGTCAGGACGCCAGCTCCTGCCCCCATTGGAGTTTCTGCGCTCTCGTCCTCTTGCCGAGCGCAGAGAGACAAGAGGAGGCTGGCAGGGGCCGAGCTTCCAGAGAGAGAGCCCTGCACTGAGAAAGAACCGCTGAAGAAGAAGTAGGGGGTGCAAAGGCAAAGGAGGAAGAAGTGGGAGGGGAAAGATCATCTTCAGTGCGAAAGAAAATCAGGAACTGGGGCGGGATAGTTTGGCAAGAGACTTCTGCCTGGAACCCAAGCCTGCCCTCCTCCTTGACCTTCCTGCCACGTTTACCCTGCTGCTTTTCATTGAGCCGGCTCCCCAGGGCATAAGGCCCCCTATTTTGATTTATGAAATAGCGGGAGAGCTTAGAAATTTGTGATTAATTAATTGCTTAATGATGGGAGTGATGGTGGTGATAGTAGCTGGTAACAGCAGCATTATGTGAAACTACTCCCCCAACCTCGCCAAATACTGCGGGAACCATGTTTTGACGTGGTGATGAGGGGTGCTATTTATTCCTTCTCCCCCTCCCCTTTAAACCAAACCCTCAAGGCCTCTGTTGCTTCCAGATTCTCACCTATTCTTTGTTGAGCTTCCATCCATGCCTTCTCCACCCTTTGAAATTACTCAAGGTCAACTGTGATTGCAAAGGTCAGTTCTTGCCTTAGTCCAGGCTGCTTGACGGCATAGCTCAAACAATGAAAATGTATTGCTCATACTCCCAAAGTCCAAAGCCGAGCTCGGTACTAGCAAATGTAGGATGCAGCGAAAGCACACTTCCTGAAGTCTACCTGACAGGTGGTTGTCTTCTCAAGGAACCTCTTGTTGCAGAGGTGGGAAAGAATGCACCCTTGTATCTATTATCTTGCTAGAGCACTAACCCTGTTCCCAAGCCCTCAAACGCTTATGCGTCTCTCGGGCTCTGCCTCCAAATGCCAATACATTGACTTTTGGGAGAACACAAACATTCAGTTCATAGCAATTATCTTTAGATGACTAAAGTTCCAATCTCCTCTCCAAACCTTTCCTTCTTGTGGTCATGGCTCAAGCCAAAAGGAAGGAGTCATTTTTTCCTCTTCCCTCTGGATTGCATAGCTCCTTCTTATATCACAAACTCAGCCCAAGTCATTTTAAAACCATAATCTTGCATGCTCCACCACCTGTTTGACTGTCATCTAATCTAAACAACCAGAATTTCACATAAACACCTAACTCCCAATTCTGCCCATGTTGCTCTGCTGTCCACTCTCGGCCATAGGGATCAAGTTGAAATTCTTGTCACACAATTCCAGCACTTAAACTGGCTTCATCTCTGTTCTTCCCCAAGTGGAAGTCAAAGCCATTATAATTTCTTAAGATGTTTGGTTCCTTATTATCGCTCTGATCTCATGCGTTCTCTTCCCTCTGTGTGGCTTTCATGGCTCCCTGATCTTCATGGAACATACCACCCATGCCCACACAGTCTTTGTGTGTTATGTGCCTTTCCTCTGTCCCTGGAATATCTTTCCCAAACCTTCTGTGTTCTCTTCCCTTCATTTTATTCTGGTTAAAGCTTTCCCTTTGCCATCCAAGTCAATGTACAACCCTTAATCCCCAAAGCTGCCATCACCATCCAACAGAACATATAACACCATTGTCACCTTGTCTTTAAAAATTGTAACCTTCGAAAAGTTTAAAATATACATCTATCAGTCAGGCAGTGGTGGCGCACACCTTTAATCCCAGTACCCCAGTACTCAGTAGAAAGAGGCAGACAGATCTCTGAGTTAGAGGCCAGCCTGGCCTATAGATCAATGAGTTCCAGGATAGTCCAGGCTATACAGAGAAACACTGTCCCAAAAATGCAGATACCTATATCTATATAGATATATAGTCTATTTTATTAAATGTTGTAGTTTCAAATTTTAAAGAAAGTACTTAGTACATAGAGGACTCATTAAACTATTGACTTAATGAATCAGCATTACTCTAACAATCTACCCCCCTCCCGCCAAAAAAGAGACGTCTTTAGGTGAAGATAATACTTGAATAATTAAGTTCAATGTTCTTAGATCCTTGCTAATTTCATGAGAAGCACCAAGTGAGCACAAAGAAGGGAGATGTCATTGAAGCAAGTCTTCTTTGGAGAGAAGATCACCATCTGCATTCCAGAACATGTGTTAGCAGCTTTGTAGCTCCTTGCTCCGTCTCACTCTCTTGTGTCCTGTTTCCTGCTTCTCTCCAGCCGCATTTCCACCAGACAAACTAATAAGAAAACAAAAGGTCATGCCTTTGCCTCACCCATCACCTTTGAGACTAGGGTGGGATTTGAAGAGTTTTGTAGAAGATGGATTTTGTCAGGCAGTTCTGGAAGGAGGATTTAGTGCTTGTCAGAATCTTGGATAAATTGGTTAGTTTCTACAAGCATGCACAAGTTCTCCTGTATGACCTGCATAGGATGGCATCTGTGTTACTTCTAGCCACTATTATGAAGCTAGTATGAGATTAGGTATGGAAAACAGCCTATGTCAATTCTTCACCTCAGTGCCCATATACAGCAAACACCTCTTTTGCTTGTCTAGAATATCTTCCCTCAAGCAATGGCTCCATCATGTCACCCATCACTCAATTAATTACTTGGAAAAAACAATAGGGTGAGCCATAATTTCTTATCTGGCCACACTTTGGTTAATTTGGGGATGGGCCCGTGATAGCAGTGAAGGTCCTTCTTCAGATAATGGAGGTTTGGTCAGCAGCCTATTTTGTAAACACTTGGATTCAAACTCAGAGAATATTGTCCACCATACTTCATTGTAGAGCCAGAAAAAGTAAAAGCTAGTTGGCTACAGAGAGCAAAGTCAGACTCAGAGAGTTAAGTAAAAATCTAAGACACGGAGAGTTCTGTCAGCATCTAGCTTCAGTTCCTACACAGTACAAGAGTGCTGATTGCCTTCTCATCTTCAAATTCCAAGAAGCAGTTTAACTTCGTGGAAGATTTCCCTATCTGGTTATATTACTGTAATTTTAATCCAGAAGTCCCATTATCCAAGACAATACTTGGAGAGCACGTGTCCTACTCTTAAACTCAAGGGAAAGTCTAAGAGGAGAGGCAACTCCTTCCAAGAATGCCACTTTATATCTATCTGTACAAAAAGAACTTCTAATTGCTGCCCCAGGAAACCAAAATGCAATGGATACCACACACAAACATATGGCTCAATGAGGAAATGAATAGTTGGTTGCCAAGCAGAAGAGGCAAGAAAGAAGAAAAGGAAAAAAAACTTTTGTTGAGGGATAGGAGTATAAAATGCCTGAACTACAATTGGGAAACAGCTCTGTAAACTGAATATGAAGTAGGATATGAGTAGCACACCTGCTTTCCCAGGCAACTGGAAACTATCAACAAAGCTAAGCCAATTTTCTCATCCTCAGGTGCACACCCACGTCTTAGTTCTTCCACATACATTCAAGTTCACACATAAGGACTCTACTTCTTGAGAGCAGGAGAACAGCCATAAGTTTCTATGATTGTCCACTGTGAGTTTGCATGACACAAGATTGTAATACTTATTCTGCAAAAAGAACACACAAATCTACTTGGATAGCAGGATGTACTCACATGAAAAGCCAGATACCAATACACACCAGCAACACTCAAGGTGCACTAGACATTAGAGGATGAGTGTCCAGTGAGTGCTAATAACAAGGACTCAGAGGAAGAAGGGATATTCTGTTTTGAAATGGTGAAGGGAACTCCAATCAAGAGTTAGAAATGAATTAGATTATGAGGAATGAGTAAGATTTTTAAACAGTGTGAGTAGTGGGAAAAGGTGAGATAAATCTGATAAGAGCAATAAATAAAACATTGCTGACACACCGGATAACAGATAGCCTTTAGTATGGAACAAAGGGATACACCTATCAAATTTAATGAGCCTGTGTTTTATCTATGACTAGAGCATAGGAATTGTTTCATAGTACCATTCCTGGTATATAATACATACTTAGATTACACACACCTGCATATGTATATTCAGTGCTTAAAACAAAGACAGTACTAAAAGCATTCAGTTTAAACACTCATCTCATTGATTGTCAATACTTATTTTTTAAATTTTGTATATGTGGGGGGTATGTGCAAGTGAGCTATATAGTTAACATGCTTTGTGTTGCCTGGTATAGGAGCTGGGAACTACCAGGCCTCTACAATAGCAACAAGTACTCTTATCTCCTGAGCCAAAAAAAAAAAGAAAAAGAAAGAAAGAAAGAAAGAAAGAAAGAAAGAAAGAAAGAAAGAAAGAAAGAAAGAAACTGGTAATAATAGGGAATATTACAACATTGTATTTCTGTAGTTTTCCTGTGAACACCAAACCTTCTTGCTGTGGTTAGTAAAGTCACCATATGCCTACACTAGTTTGGGTTTTTGGTTGTTATTGTTGTTGTTTGCTTCTTTGTTTGCCCAGTTGCCCACCTATAGGGATTTCACACATACTATATATAGCGATACTCTTCTAAGTGGTTTCAGCAAGAGGTAGGGAGGATCCATCTCTACAGTATGCATATCAGCAGTAACAAAGCAAAAAACTCAGCATCTTCCCCAAACTAAAAAGAAGAAATGATAATTATTTAACTAACAGCATTGGACTGATGACAATAAGCAAAGGCGTCAAGCCTGAACAGAAATATCTGTAACACAGAACATTCCATAGCATGTGTTCTTGCCCATCTTTAGTCTTTTTTGTTTTTGCTTGTTTGTTTTTCAATAGTTTTTTATTTATTGTTTGATAATTTCATACAATGC